AACAAGTATAAAAATAGATGTAAAAGTTTGCTTGGGGCTCCTCTCCCTTTAGCGAGACAGAGTCCTTTTTCTTGGAGCGCTTCAATAAAAAGAGGAATAGCCAATTCTTCTCTTCAGGGTCTTATTGGGCAGAACCCGGGGGAAAGGGGTTCTGCACTTTGTGGAGAACAAATCACTTGCCTATTATTACTGAGAGTGTCTGCAAAGTTTCCAGAAGCAGTGCTCAGCTCAAAGGAGATTTTATTTTAAAGGATAATAAAGAGATTGCAGAGAAACGGTATTTGTTGTACCTTTGTTGCAGAAAATGTAGGGCGATTACCCTTGCCTGAGATATTTTCAGCAAAATAATTTAAGAAACCAGATTAAAAAGTGGTAATAAGAAATGACTATATTCACAAAATAATGTTAATGGTTCCCTGACGGCTGGTAGTCCAATCTATACATCTGAACTGTTCTTAGAATTTAATTGGAATCTACCTCCCAGTATTTTAAATTAATTCTGTGGGGAGAGGCAGAAGGAGGGGGCAAAAGAACAAAAGCAGCATCAAGATATTGCAATGCAAGCCCTCACCCCTTTTATGCATGTGTCATGGCATTGCATGAATATAGAAAAGGACTGGAGCTGGCAGTGCAGTGCCACAGTGCTGCTTTCCTCTTCACAAAAGCAGGAAACCACTGTCTGCGACCTACAATTTGGAAGCACAGACAAGAAGTCTTGACCTATCATGTGCCAGCCGTTGAAGTATTTGAAGGCTGCTCCCATAGAGCCCTTCAATCTTTACAAGGTTAAACATCCCCAGGTTCTTCATCTCTCTTCAGGACTGTTTCTAATACTTTCATCATCCTTATTACCCTTCTCTGAACTTATGCCAATTTCTCTGTACTGTATCATTCTTAAACTGGGGTGCCCTGAATAGGACACAGTGTTTGAGGTGGGATCTGACTATCACAGAGGAACAATTACTTATTTTAATTTGGAAACTATACTTCTGTTTTTGCAGCCTAAAATAACAATTGCTTTTTTTTTTTTTTTTTGCGGCCACATCAGACTGCTGACTCATACCATTTGTATTCAGATAGCAGTTCAAGGTTTTCATATGTAATATTACCCAGGCAGGTATTGTGCCTCTAAATCTGTACACCTGATCACTGTTTGCATTTCTCTCATTAAATTTCATTCTATTATTTTCAGTCCATTTCTCTACCCTAACAAGTTTATTTTGAATTTTATTTCTGACTTCTAGAATATTACCTATATCACCAAATTTTGTCATTTGCAAATCTGATAAACTTTCCTTAATTTCTTTATTGAAGTCACAAATAAAAATGTTGAGGACTGAATCTTTTTGCACCCTACTCTATACTGTACCTTAATTTGATGAGAAATTATTGAAGAGCAGTCTTTGAATACAGGAATTTAATAGGCATTTTGCTTAATATCTATTTCACATAAATGGGTGGGAAGGGTTTATGAAGATGAAAATATCAGAATCAACAGCATCTGAAAAAAGAAGCCCCTGCCTGATTGTTTATTTGAGGATTAAAACAATTGTATAGATGGATTGGTCCAGGAGACTTTTTGTTGCCTATTCTCCCAGTGTGGGGTGCTGTCTTAATTTCTTCCATGGCTTCCTTTTGCGAGCAGTAATGCTGTAAACACATTGATAGCTATTATATACCTAGAATCCACTTTTACAAAATCCTTCACCAAGACATCTGTATGTTTAGCAATCTTATAAAAGGACAGTTATTCCTATGGTTCAGTAACTACCTAGTTGTATGACAAAAAGTTGGAGTGGATGGAGGGTTCTCAAAATAGAGGGAGATGAGAAGTTCCAACAAAGAACTTGTAAGGGCCACCACTTTTAATGTTTTTTCGTAAAAGTTCTAGATTAAGGGATGAGCAACTGAATATCCACATTTGTTGATAACACCAATTCTGAGTGTTTTAAAAAAGAATTGTAAGAATCTAAAAGATGTGTTCAGACTAAGTGAATGGACAGTAAAATGCAAATAGGATAGACAAGAGAGCAAGGATGCTAATTGCATTATACACTGATGTAGTCTGAAATTGGCAATACCTAACTAAAGGAATCTTAAAATCATGGTGGACATTTTAATGAAAGCATTGCCCCCATGTGGAACTGCTAAAGAGTGAATAGAAAAGAAATATAAAAATAACAGTCGCAAAATTACAATGTCTTATATAACCCTTGGTGTGACTATACTTGGAATCCTAGTTCATCACCCCCCAAAAAGGATATTGTGGAGCCAGAAAAGATACAGATAGCAACTACAGTGATTTGTGGTCTGAAGCATTTGATGGCTTTTATTTCTGAAGAAAAGACAAAGCATATGAAACTGTGCAGGGAAAGTTAATAGGTTTTTTTCCTTTTAAAACTTAAAACCTGGGGTCATACATGTAAGGATTTCTTCACATAGTACACAGTTAAATTATGGAAGGTTTGAATGTATTGGTTTACGTAGCTTTAAGAAAGAATTAAATGCATTGATGGATAATGCATCTCTCAATGGATGTTGCCTTTGCTGACCAAGGATTTTACCATCCAGAGAACAACAATGGGAAAGATTGGTCTCATGTACTGTCGCAGCTTCTCATAGGTTTCCATTTGGGAAACAGGGTGCTGAATTAAATAGGCTCAGTCTGACCAGCAGAGCTTTTATGCGTTTAAATTGTCAATATTCATGCTGCTAAATTCATATTGCAGTAAGCTGGCAGGCAAGTATAACTTATCCCAGCCTTCATACAAACCAGCATTGTGATGTTTATTTGAGAACCCTGCCATACTCCATGGGTAGACAGGATTGATACTTTGATTTTATATATTTCTACAGTATATATTTGTTCCTCCAGATTGCCATGCCAATCTTAACATCCCAGAATATTTTGCAAATATTTGTTGTCATATTGATATTTAATGTCAGATTATAAAACCAGCAGAGTACATTGCAAGCCTACGGAGATAAATGTAGGAAACAGCAAAATGCATAATACTCAGTTTTAATTGCTGAAAAACAAGTTTATAGATTTGCATAATATTTACAAGACATGCTGGAAGAAGGCAGTGGCAAAAATGTAAGGATTGTTGCAAAGAAAACAGCATGCCTGCATCTGTGTAGTCACCAGAACTCAAGCTCAGCTTAAGGGAGATTTTACCTTCACCTTAAAAGAAATGACTATTAACAGAAGATGTAAATCTATCAGAGTAATCTGAATTGTACACAACAAATTTTATGTATTAGCTTGTGTCACCTTCCCTTTTTTGAAAGCCAAGTAAACCAAATGTTAAAGTGTACTTGTTCAGAAATACTGAATCATTTGGTGACACCTACTGGTTAATAACATATAGCAGAAGTGGTGACATTTCATTAGTATCTGTTTCAAACACAATATGGTGAACTGAACTGGAGCTATCAAGAGCACTGCTGCTGGTATCAAGTTCATTTATTTAATGAGGTTCATACTGGAGAAATGTCTGGTACATTACATCCTATAATTCCCATGTTCACAGCCTAAAAGATCAATTGTGTCTGGGGCTTGATATATGCATAGTGAGGGACACAACAAGTCATCTAATAATCTACAGGACATAGAAATAAATAGTTTATATTTACTAAGTGAACAAAATGTACCTTGTACAATAAAATATGAAGTACATATTATGGAAATTTTGTTTATCTGTACAGAAAATAGCTGCTTAAGGCTCTCTGAGTGGCTCAGGTTACCAGAACAGATCTTGTTTTGTAGCATTATAGACAGAAATAACTTTGGAGGTACCAGTTACTTGCCACACAAAGTGACTATGTCATCCAGATGGCCTCTGCAGAGATCTATAAGTAAAGATCTCCTTGTTGCAGTTTGATTTCTTAGCCTATAGAGGACTATCAAGTGTCTTCCACCTTTTGCATCCTAAATCAGAAGGTTGAGCTATCATTCTTCCTCTCAGGGATCATTCCAGGGTCCTTCTCATTAGCAGCTTCCTTTCCTTGGTTTTCTGCAAAAAAAGAAAAGCTATTGTGGAGAAAATATTTTTGATCCAATAAATGCTTCCAGTAAAAAAATTGAACATAAATGTTGTTTGCCTATAATTAGCTGCATTGGGAGAATCGTATTTTATTCCAAACTGGCTAGTTCAGTTTGGGACTTTCATGTACAAAAAAGAAGGCTTGTTTAGAAACTAACGTAACTGTTTGTTACTAGTATGGAGATTGCATACTAAATTGCCTGTCTGATGCAAAACCGCCTCTCCCCGATTTCATCTGCCCATCTTACCAGATCCAGCAGAGAGGGCATGTTACAGGTTCCGTCACCTAGGGAGCTACATTTGGCGGGCCCCAGGCGGGCCTTTTCTGCTGTGGCGTCTGTGCTATGGAATCTTCTCCCCCCCAAGGTGAGACTGGCCTCGCCACTGTTGAGCTTCCGGAGGCCCCTTAAGACTTGGTTATGCCAGAAGGCCTGGACGGTGGAATTAGCGAAGTGGCTCCCTTATTTTTAACTTCTTTTTATTCTATGTTTTATTTTCTTTTATATATTTTTAATGTATTTTACTGTTTTTAGCTTTGTTGTACGCCGCCCAGAGTCACCTGTGGTGAGATGGGCGGCTATATAAATTGATTTAATAAATAAATAAATTATGGATCTCTTGTCTAAACAACTTAATAGTGAGCCAATAGCTGTACAAATTGTCATATATGAGTTTATATGCTAATGGGAGAAGTCCAAGATGAGATATGTGAATTAGATTAGAAAGGTAATATTTACATATTGGCCATAGGAAAAACCTAATGAAACAGAAAAAACAGTAGATTATTATCACAAGGAAGAATAGGATAGTATTATTCAGAATTTCAAAGAAGGTATGCTGACTAAGGAAACCACAGAGGGACAGAATCTTCCACAGAATAGGCTACAAAAGATATAACAGGCCCTTTATATAAAAGCAGGAAGGATGGCACTTCTTTTTTCTTCCTAGTGTTTTTTCCGCAGGTGCAGGGTCCCCTTTTTTGGGATCAACCAAATGTTGATCCATTGATTGCGACAGTAATTGATCAACCGGCTTGTCGCCCGAGCCGGACATCATGGGCTGAGACCCAGCCAGCTTTCATGCCTAAGGTGGGACTAGAATTCACAGTCTCCTGGTTTCTAGCCTGATGCCTTAACCACTAGACCAAACTGGCTCTCCTTGGAATTTGAATCGTTGGCTAGAAATGTCCTGATAGTCATGATAGTGACATGCTGGCGAATACAATATCACATAATATACAGTTTGCATAAATATTCAAACAAATACAATATGAATTATAGAGAGCATTTACATCTGAGCCTCCTGAATGATACTAGCTGCTTGAGAAGCTCTGAATGATCCTGAACAAAGAACAGCTCACCTTCTTCTGCAATAGAAATATCCATGGTGTTTGCTAGTTTCTCCAATTTAAGGGCAGCTGCATCTCCCTGAAGATCATGAATTGCATTTCTCCGACCAGCCCGGTCACAGCTGATGAAGTCAGAATAGGCAGGCTCAGTCTCCATCATCTCACTGACATTGTATGTGACAGAATCCCTAGTTAACAAAGATGTGTAGTAATAAGAAACTATTAATGGGTATAGGATACATTCTTATTAAAATAATATATCACATGAACCTACTTATGTAGTCCCAAGATATAAATGATACAAAATATGGGATATAAATCCAATAAAACAAATATAAAATCTTGATGGAAGGAGAAAGGATGAAATGTTTGACGGTCAGCTTTAAATTCTGCATTCCTGTCTTTTTCCTTATGCTATGTTATGATCTGTTTATCAGCTTACCATACCAAAGTTGATACTGTGTTACATCATTGTGAGTGATAGCAGAAGAAAGGTGTAGGGTATCTCTGGTGCACACTAAACTAGCACCATCACCTTGCCTTATGCTTTGGACAACTTGTTAACATAGATAATAAACAGTCTAACCACCACTGGTCTAGGATTCCATAATGAAAAGATAGTACAGTCTGAACTTGCTAATTAATATCTTTACTTAAAAAAAAAAGTATTAAAATAAGTTGTCTTCACTGCATCCCATAATGTCAGTAAGTTTCCAAAATTAAAATTTGTCATGTAGAGATAGAATGTAAAAATATTTTGCAACTGTCATAGGACCCAATTAAATAAAGATCATCCTATCAAAAAATCATTTGCATTCTGTACTGAGACAAGTACAAGTACTGTGAAATGGTTTGTTGGCTTCTTCTTCAGATGTTACCGAAGATAATTAGAAATGGCTACTATTATAATGCATCCTCTTTCACAATCACATGTGAACTTGTATACACATATTTTCTAGAGGTGTGGCACACTATAGCAGATTTATATATTGGTTTTCAGTGAAGGGAAATATGTTGGTAACTACAGCTTCTCAGAGTGGTAATGTAGAGAATATTAATACACAGCTTCTTACCATGTGCTGTGGAAAATGTAACCTCTGGAAAAGGTGAGAGGAAAGGTCACCGAAACTGAACCCAAAGTGTTATAATGTAAAGCAATAGTTTAGCAGTCAGAGGCAATCAGCTGCTAGAAATAGGTTGACTTCTGGGGTTGCAATAAAATGCAATTCCCCTAGCTGTGTTGTGTTGAGTTTCTGGAGCAACTGCCTGGGGAGGCAGACAGTGAAGAATTATTATTTATAAAGCAGAAAATAAATAAACAGCCATTGAGATCCAAACAAACTTCATTTTTAATATATGCATAGAAGAAAAAATACATCCATAAAAAAACTGAAAAGCAGCTTAGTTAATACCCTGGTTCTACCCAGCTATACTATTTCTAATAATGGAATGAATATATATGAACCCCCCCCCCCCACCCACACACACACACATACACAGGCAAGTGTAGCAAGTATGAGATTATATTTATGATTAGGGCTAAATATTGGCTCAAGACCTTTGGCAGCAATTGCCTCAAACTCTACATTTCCTGTTTGGCCACAATCACTGATATAAAAGCCAGTATTTCAAACATAGGGCAGAGCACCTCAGAAGGCACTAAAACAATTCAAATAGGCTATTCACAGATTACAGCATTCCAAGGCATGCACCAATTTGCCTTCCTTGGGGTACAGTGCAGATGGATCACTCTTAGCAAAGAAGACGACAAAATAATTCACGGAAAGAAATAAGGCTTCTTGCTTTAGAAACACAGATTAGCTATCAAAGGGAAGTAGAATAGGACAGGAATGCAAGGAAATACTATGGAGAGCAAGTGATTCATACCTAGAATCCACAAAAAAGATGAGCCCCCAGGCAGAAGGAAAGAACTCACATTTAGACTGAAGGGAAGTTACAGAGATCAAAACAAGGAATGCAAAGGATTCACTGAACTCAGCATGGAGTAGGATAAAAACTACAAATAAAAGCAGAACCATTAGAATCAAAGTTGTTATTACAAAAACTGCATTTATCTTTTTAAAAATTACAATACGTAAAATTAACATGGTTCCCTTGTACCCTCAGAAACTTTAGTATAATTATTGCAACCTTAAAATGTTACTTTTGTAATAGTCTACTTTTAAGAAATAGATGTTAATGTGTATTTGCTTTGGTTAAATAGAATGTAGTGCAATGTAATGGAGTTTCTTATGAAATTCAGAGATTTTTTTTCCTAATCCAATAGCTCTGTTCAGGATTTATGGGGTTGAAAGGAGGGACCCACACCAATTAGACCAGTATAACTAGGTGAATCCCCTTTTGTTCTGGGATTAGAATGTTCCCCATCTGGTAGAACATGCTGGCTGGGGAATTCTTGGAGTTGAAACAACACATCGTAAAGTTGCCAAGTTTGAAAAACACTGCTCTACAATATACGGGGTGTGGCTATGCATTGCTCCTAAAATGGTCTACAAGCAGCTTGATCACTGCAGCTGACATCAGACTGGGGAAAGAGCCAGAAGAATTTTGATTGTCTTGATGTTTTTATCCTAAAAATCAGGGAGGAGTGAACTTTAGAATACCTGTTAGGATTAGATATTCTAATCCTGTAAATCTTGAACATTGGGCCTATGGAAACAAATGTACAAAATGCCAATTAATTTCAAACTGACCTCATTCAAAGAAAAGTTAATCCAAAATAATTGCTAGAGTCCTTGAAATGTCACCACTCAGAATTGGAGTACACATGATGTACATGTACAAATACACAGTGGTTTAGACATATAAAAGAGTGCAGTGGTGATCCCTAAATAGAAATAGTAGAACCAGTAGAACTAATACACACACACACACAAACTCTTGTTCAACAATAAAGTGAACACAATCCCACAGCAGGTGATCAATAGTTTCAATGAGATGTTTTAAGGCTCCTTTCTAAACCTGGAAATGACAGAAACAGTTTTCAGGAATAGATATCTGAGTCCATTAATTCTGAAGCAGGGCAGAAGTTATAGGGCAGGTATGTAGAGAAGCATAAAACAAACCTGGAGACATAGTAGGATAGTGAGAAAACACTCTTAGACAAAGATCATAGAGAAACCTTCCCTGAGGACTGGAAAGCATTATGAAATGATAGACACTTGAGTGCTATCAATGATATCAGGTGATCTTTGAGTTAAAACTGGATTTTCCATGGCAGGGAAAAATAAGGGGGAAGAATGTACAAGTATTGGTCTGTATACTGAATGATATCTGTATTATCAGGACAGAAAGTAAATTTAGCATAGACAATACATTCTGTTGGAACAATAATTACACAAAAGAACTCTTTCCTTTTCAATCCTAAATTCTTCCTGATGGAATTAATTCATTCTAGCTTGTTGATGAGCCTATCCGGAGAAATATATTTTTTAAATTCTGGAGTTAAGATGAGAAATAATTCCCATATCTATCTGAAAGGAAAGTGACCCCATATTTATGATAATGACTTACCAAAAAGAAGATTAGACAAAATAATAGAGGTAGTGATAGTAGTAGTAGTAATTAACAACAGCAGCAACAATTCACCTGCCTCTAATATCGTATTGCCAAAGAATCTATGGTGTAATTACTTGAGGGGAAAAAAACCTAGAGATTCTTTCAAATAAATACAGTATTTCACCAAGCATATACCAGATTTATAGAATTGTACAGTTGGAAGGGGCCATTTAAGTCACTGAGTCCATCACTTCTCCTTTAATGCATGAACTTAAGTTAAAGTTTTCCTGATAGCTTGGATTCCTATCCAAACTCACTTGAAAACATCCAGCATTCTGGAACAACAGAGAAAAGAATTATCTTTTTCTGTGTGAATTTATTTCAGGAATTTGAGGTGTGCTATCATATTGCCCCTTCAATCTTTTTAAGAATGAACATTCCCTGTTTCTTCAATCTCTCTTTAAAACTGTTTCTAATCCTTTCATCATCCTTGTTATCCTTCCCTGAACCTGTTTCAGTTTCTTTGAATCTATTTTAGTGTGATGCCCATAACTGAACACAGTAACCAAAGTGGGATCTATCCATCACAGAATAAAACAGAACAATTGCTTTGATGCAGCCTAAAATTGCAGTTGCTCTTTTATTTTATATATTTTGCAGCCACATCATACTGCTGGCTCATATTCAGTTTGTAATTAATTATAATTTCAATATGTTTGTCACAAATTCAATACCAAATCAAGCATCTCCCCTCCTAAGCTTTGAGGAAACAAGATAATTGTTTCCTATCTTAAGAATTTGGATTTGTTTTGAGCCTATTATTGTATTCCGCCTAGATCTGAGAATTGTTTCAATTACAGCAGGCTAAAAATGGAATAAATAAATAAATACAGGTAGGTCTTGATTAGTGCGGTTAATGAATCCCACAAAATGGTCGCATTATTCGAATGTGCACTATTCAAAGTGATATTTCTATAGGGAATAGGGTAATTGGTTCCAGCTTGACAGAAATAAGCAATTAAAATTTTTAAATGTAATTTTTATATGTTTATTAATGAAACACTATATAATAGTAAAACAGGATAAACCCATTTCCAAAACATACCTGCTATCTCCTGTATTCTGATGTAGTTCTTGAACTTTCCTCAAACAGAACCTTCCTTTTCTCCATTTTGCACAAATGACGATTAATGTCTAAAACCACAATGGCAACCACGCCTGCTCTAGCCTTGCATTAATTGAATTTTGGCTCACATTAAGGTATCAATTTATAAATCACACTACATCAAATTTCATACTATTCAAATGCGCACTAATCATGACCTATAAACACATTTCTGTCTTCTAGAGTATTAAGTATTTAATTTTATCATCTACAAATGTATTACGTTTTCCGTTTTTCTTCCACATCTTCATCCAAATCATTAATTAAAAACATTGATGAATTTATCCAGGGAGATGACACTGGCAAATCACTTCCATAATACTACTAGGAAAATTAAATGGACGTTTATAATCACCAGGACTTGAGCGTCATTCAAAGTCTTTATTTTTTTATGAGGACCAGCGTTGAATTTTGTGCCACCTCATTCAGTATCTCATTCCAATTTGATAAGAAAATATTGATGTGCCCTCTTAGTTTACTGAGTTTTGTATAGTTACATTGTTG